GGACCCAGAACCTTGTTTACACGGTGTGTTCCCTTACCGCGCCGTGATAGTTTCTGTTTTCTATCCCAGGGAAGTAGATTTAAGATGTTTGAGCCTCTTTGAAAGAAGTCTCTTATGCTCACCAAGGCTGCATTTAATTGATCAAAAATACAGTCAAAACTGTAATTTAGTAAAATATCACAATTGAAAATAATCGATGTCTATTAGAATATATTTTAAAATATAATTCATTACTGTGACGCAAAACTGCATTTTTTGCATCATTACTCCAGTCTTCAGTGTCACATGATCCTTCACAAATCATTCTAATGTGCTGATTTGCTGCTCAATTATTATCAGATATTATTGGTGCTCATTTATTAATAATGGTTATTTTAATTAGCAATGCTGCTCAATATTTTTGTAGAAATGTGATACTTTTAGGATTCTTTGATGAATGGAAAGTTCAATGAACAGCATTTATTGGAAAATAACTTTTTTTAGTAAGATTATAAGAGTCTTTATATACTTTTACATTTGATAAAGTAATGTGTCCTTGCTAAATAATCTTTCTTTCTTAATCTTACCCCAAACATTTGAAGGGTTGTGTATCATTGTTTCCACAAAACTATGAAGCGGCACAGCTGTTTTCAACACTGATTATACAAAGAAAAGTTTCTTGAGCAAATCAGCATATCAGAATGATTTCTGAAGAGTAACTGACAATGAAGACTGGAGTAATGATGATGAAAACTCTATCATCATTAGATAGAATGATGACTTGTGAATGGATTAACTGGTTCTCGCCATGTATATAGCAATAGATGCTGGAATGGCGTTAAGAAGAAGTTAAACAAACTCCAATCATAGGGCTAGTGCCACGAATCTAGCCTCTGTCGATCCTCCTGCTCACAACCAGAGGGCTCCCTCGCCTGAGTGCTGACTATTATCTCCCTGAACTCCATTTCCCTCGAACCCAATACATGGAACTGACTCCCTTGACTTTTAACCAGCTCACCTCCAAAATTTCTACGGTCCATCCATTGATCGACTCCAAGGGATGAAGTTTTGACTGAAATGCCAAGTTTACTTCCATAGTTGAGGTAGACAGTGTGAACTCACCCTGTATTCTGAATTCATTCGTAATCATTTGCTTTTATTCATTTGGCAGATGCTTTTATCCAAAGTAATATACACGTTATCAGTTCATGCATTCCATAATAAGTGCACTCATGATCTTGCTGTTGCAAGCACCATGTTCTGTTTGAGCTACAAGAATGGTAAACAATACCAGTGATACATTGTATATTAAATATTTTGCATAACAATACACATTATTTTCGTATCTGATGGTGCTGGTCATGGGAAAGAAATTAAGTGCAATCACTAAGGACATAATTCACAGATAGATATAAACCTCTGGATATATCTGTCATGTGGCTGTAGAACACAGGAGTAAAGATAAACAAAGGGTGTCTTTCGGTGTTGGGGGTAGCGCATTACAAGTAACGCGAGTTACGTAATCAAATTACTTTTTTCAAGTAACGCATTACTTTTTAATTTACAAGAGAATATCTGAGTTACTTTTTCAAATAAGTAACGCAAATTACTTTTTTTTTTTCAATTTATTGATTGCCAGCTCTCCTGTCCCCATGTTGAGAGAAATCAGAAGATGTTACTGTAGTTCTAAAATAAATATAAATATGCATTAATTCATCTCACTCACAAAAAACAAACAAAAAACACTTTCAGTATTCCTCAAAATGAATAAAAATAATGCAACTCAGAATATGACGCAAACCTGCAATAATTAAATGTTAAACAACAGAAATATCCTTTATGTATTTAATCCCATTCTATTAACCAATGTCTTTGCTTCTGACCTTCGATGATCCAGTTCAACC